GATTATTTCAATGTTCCTCTCTTTTCTTGTTATTTAACAAACTATTTTGGAATGAGAGCAGGATTTGTATTTCTTAAGGGTGTAGTATTTCAATGTATGGAGGTTTAAAGAGATAGTGGTATAGATTAAAGCTCAAGGAAAATTATTGTAAACAATCACAATGGAGGCTATGAAAGGAGGAGGTGTGTGTGAAAGCTATGGTGGCTCTAAAATTGGGCAAAATAATAGCTCATAAAAGTATATAATATCATGTGCTCCTCTGAGAGAGAAGAATGACTTGTGCAGATGGAGAATATTCTTTAATGATAATAAAAAGTGAGTCAAAAATTGTTAGCCTAGGTCTCACTCGTGCTGTGAGACACTAGCTCACCATTGTACACTTAAGATGGGAAGCTATGCAGGGGAAGTGAAATCCCTTGTTAAGCCTTGGACGAACGAGCCATCCTTATTGGACTTATGTTGACTAGCAATAACAGAAACCCCTAACTTGATAATTTGCGAAATCAAAATTCCAAAATGTATGGCAACTTAGTCCGTACGTAGTGTGCAATGTTCTCTAGATGGATACAATGGTATGGTTGATCGGTCACAAGCCTTCAGGCTGATCTTCATGGCTTGTTAATTCCTCGTGGCGTATGGTTAGAGGTCGTCTTTGACCAATAGGTGAGTTCGTGTTCTAGTTAGCTGTCATTCATGAGTTTAGAGGAGAATGCTTGTGCATTTTTTGATCAGTTTCTCTTTCTTTTTATATGATTTTCTCTTCCTAACTATCTTGTGTAGATCACTTGTTGATTTCCTCAGATGTGTCTGTTAGCTTATGTGTCATGTATTTTAGTAGCTGATTGTGGCCTCATGTTGTTCAACCACTAGGATACATTATATTCCTCATTTTTTACACCGTATCATGAACTATTTTGGCAGTTACATCCTTTTTTTGACGGGGCCGTTAATTCGAATTAGCTTTCGATCTAAAAATCTTCGTTGTTTCTTTTTCATTCCCTTCCTTCGAGGGTTTTTCATATAGTCAGTACTTGTTGATTTCTTTTTTTTTTCTTTTTTCTTTTTAAAAATGACAAGCCACATCATCTCATGGATTAATTCACAAATTAGGGTGGTTCAGCCCATTTCAACCATTGATTAAATAGATTATGTTTGGTAAATGATTTTTTCAATTTAATTAGTGGTCTCGAATTCGAATCCTTGAAAATGGAATTGTGTTAAAACTTAGTAGAAAGAGTTGTGTGGTTCATGTGATTCTATCTGACTTGAATCGGATTAATCGATGAATAATAATAAATAAACCTTACTTTTAAATGGGCTTACAACATGAATAATATAGTCATGGGTTAGCATGAGCTAGCCTGCAAGCTTCCATGCTTTTACCTAACTTTTCTTTTTGGTAATATAGAGGGGGGAACCCCGAAAAACAATCAAGTCAACACAACCTTACGAAAATTACAAACCAAAAAGAAATCTGCCAAATACAAAGGCCAAATAGCAGGGGGAGGAGAAGGAAAAAAACATAAGTTATTCTCCATATGACGATCCAATGGGTACTTGGAGAGCCAGTCAGCGCAACTATTACATTCATTGTATGCATGTACTAAATGAACCTCCCAATCCTTTTGTAACCAAGCTCGAATGCGAGTCACCAAACGAGACTCTCGAGCTACTATACCATTCTTGGTGAGTAAAGTGATAACTCAACTAGAATCACTTTCTAATAAGCAACGCCTCCAACCACCAGCCCAAGCCACTTCAAGAATTTTGAGGGCGCCCCATAGTTCAGCAACAAAAGCTGAACATTGACCTATATTATAAGCCAAGCCTTGAATCCATCGGCCTGATTCATCCCTGATGACCGCACCACAAGCAGCCCCACCACCAGCACTCCTAGCTGCCCCATTAGTATTTATTTTTATCCATCCTGTCTCCGGGGGAATCCAACAAACAGAAATAAAATCATAAGTCCTTCTAGACTTTACTCCATAACAGCTTGTCCAAGCTTGAGAGTACTCCCTTACTTTCTAGGCTATAGTTTCAACTTTATATGAGTACCAATCAAATTCACCACCGTGGATAATATTATTTCTCCAAATCCAGGCAATGCAAACAGTCACAATAAACACCAAAGACCAAGAAGCATTAAATATCATCAGTGAATCAATTCTCAAATTCAACGAAAGCCAACTTTCCAAATCAGCAGTAAAGAATTCACTTACCAGTTCAGGCCATAAAAGATCTAACCAGACATTTTTTATTCTTCTACAACCTCTGGCCATATGCAATATGGACTCCTCATCACTGTTACACAACGGACAGGTAGCAGTGGACAGATTTAGAGTTGACAGCATCTTCCTGGTTGGCAGCTGGTTGTGTGTTGTCTTCCACATAAAAAAACTGATTTTGTTTGGCCCTCTGAATTTCCAAATCTGAGACCACACGTTGTTCACTTGAGAGATTTCCTCGGATTGATTTTCCATAGCATCATACGACTGCTTGAATGCTACCCCACTAGGACCAGGAAGGTTCCACAATAATCTATCAGGCCCATTAGATTCATGAGGTGGAAGGTGACTTCTAATTACCTGGATTGTTTCCTGCGGAAGGAAGCTGGCCAATTCTATGCAATCCCAAGATCCATCCTCTGTCACAAATTCCATAACCTTTCTTCCAAAACTTACCTGGGGAATAGGAGCAGTAGCTTTACTAGCCAAATTACCTTCATGATCTAACCATTTATCCTCCCAAAAATCTATAATAGAACCATCCCCAACATCCCAAATCAATCTTGGTTTCAGCTTATGCCATATAGCACACATGAATTTCCAAAGCCAAGAATGGCCAGTCTTCGGAACGAACCCCTCATGAACATTATCTGTATGGATATGCTTAGCCTTCAAGACTTTTGCCCAAAGCTGATCTGGTTCATTAAGGAAATTCCAAATTAATTTTCCCAAAAAAGATTCATTCATGATAGTCATCTTTCTAAGACCCAAACCACCTAAACTTTTTGGCTTAGTAATATATCCCAACTAATAAGATGCATTTGCTATTTATTCATCAAATCACCCCAAATAAATGACCTCTGAAGATGTTCCTGTTCATTGCAGATCGTTTTGGGAAGCATGTTGCTTTGCATATTATAATATGGAATAGTGGACAAAACTGATTGTGTCAAGATCACTCTTCCTGCTTGTGAAAGAGACTGGGCTTGCCAACTATGCAATCTCTCTTTCACCCTATCTACAATACCAGCAAACAAATTTTTAGTCACCCTCTCATGATTGATCATTGATCCAAGATACTTACCAATATTTGAAACTCGCTTAAAACCACTCTCTTCTGTGATTTTATTATCAACATCCTCAGGAGTGTTTTTAGAAAAATACACACTGGTTTTTTGATCACTAACCTTTTGACCAGAGATGTCACCAAACAAACTCAGACAACGGAGAAGAATATGCAATTGCTCCTCACTAGCTTCCAAGAATAACATAAGATCATTAGCAAATAATAAGAGAAATTTTGGGTCCACTCTTCCCAGCTCTTATTGGTTTCCACAACCCTCCATTGACAGCAGTGTCTATAATATGAGTAAGTTTCTCCATAACAAGGACAAAAAGATAAGGAGACAAGGGGTCTCCCTGTCTGATGCCTCTACTAGGCTGGAATTCTTCTAACAAATTACCATTCCAAACCACACTGGTTTTAGGGGAGGTCACAACTGACATTATGAGCTTAGATAAACATTCAGGAATCTGAATTTCTTCCAATACTAGTCGAATAAAATTCCAATTGAGACGATCATAAGCCTTCTCAAGATCCACTTTTACTGCCATAAAACATCTCTTCCCTCTCATTTTCCTCATAGAGTGAACTAATTCCTGAACAATAATAATGTTATCTTGAATATGCTGTTGAGGTACAAAACTAGTTTGAGCAGGAGAAATAACTTTTGCTATAATTGGTTTTAAACGGCTAACAATTAATTTGCTGATAACTTTGTAAATCACAGGACAAAGGGAAATCGGCCGAAATTGGCTGATATGTACAGGCGTCTGGATTTTGGGGATCAAAACAAGAAGAGTAGAGTTTATAGATGCCAGAAGCTCAGGATAATTCCAAATCTGATGAACCATTAAATAGAGTTGTGTTTTGACCATCTCCCAATTTTTCTGATAAAAAATCGCAGGGAATCCATCAGTACCTGGAGCTTTGAAGCCTCCCATGTTGAAAATTGCTTGTTTTATTTCCACCTCATTTGGAATCTTGCTAAGATAAGTTTGGTCACTCGAAGGAATAGTTGGCCAAAGATTCCCTGACGAAATCCATCTTCTCTCACAGACATCTTCAGAAAATAAAACTTTAAAAAAGTTGCACGCCATAGTTTTAAGCTCAATAGAATTCGACACCCACACTTCACCATCATTCTTGAGTCTAAGGATTTTGTTCGAATTTCTCCTTACCACAGTACTAAGATGGTAGTATCTTGTGTTTCTATCCCCATCCATTATCCATTTTTGCCTAGACTTCTGGAACAAAAAAAGCTCCTCCTCAAGAAGCACTTCTAACAGAATACTCTGACATTTTTCTTCCAAAATCTTCAAGAAAGAAGAGTCATTTTGTTCTCTATTTAGTTGAATGTTGGCAATTCTCTTCATAATGACACTTTTTCTCCTATCAATATTGCCAAAAATTTGCTTATTCCACTCCCTGATATCCGGAACCAACCTTTGGAGCATGTACGGTAAGTCAAACCCATAATCCCACTTAGCTTGCAGAAAATCTTTAAATAAATGGTGCTCTTGCCAAGCAGCAAAAAAATGAAAAGGCTTCTTACCATTATTTCTATGGTCCTCAAACCACTTTACCAGAAGGGGATTATGATTAGAAAACAACCGAGGGAGAGATGAGACTTTAGCTTCATCAGACAACAATCTCCACGCAATGTTGGCTACCACTCTATCAAGCCGTTTATAAATTCTTCCCATATTACCTCATTTAGGGCCTTGCCAGGTAAAAGGTGAGCCATCACACCCCAAATCAGCAACCTGGCACTCATTAAGAATAGATGCAAACTTAGCACACTTTGAAGGATCAACTGCTACACCCCCTTTCTTCTCATGAGAGTAAACAATTTCATTGAAATCACCACCTAAAATCCAAGGACCCGTTATAGTGTCACTAAGATTATGCAAATCATCCCATAGCTTTTCTCTTAAATTCTGGGTAAGGCTTGCATAAACAGCATTAAATTCGAAAAACTGACCAGAAGGAATTTTGATTCTGCAATGGATGAATTGGGAAGATTGAGATACTGCTACCACTTCTGCCTTCTTTGATTGCCACATAATCCATATCCCACCAGCAAACCCTTGAGCTTCTTCTACTATAAGACTATCAAACCCCAATTTTTTCATCAATTTCCTACACACTTCACTACTAGTTCTAGGTTCCAACAGAACAACAACATCAACAAAGTACTTCTTTACCATAGTCTTAAAAGCACCACCAAGTTCTCTCTTAGCGACCCCTCTGGTATTCCAGATGATAAAATTCATCAATAACTAGGTTGCATATCTGCAGGATTTAGGGGAACCTGCACCACCTTCTCCTTTTGCAAAAAGTCTTCTTCATCTACACTGAAATCTAGTTCATTCACCTCTTCATAATGACTTCTGTCCTTTACCATTGGGTCTGGTGGTTTTGGATCCAAAACACCACTAGCAGAGTTATGAACACAACCCTCTGCACTAGAACTCTGCCTCTGAAAGTTATTGTTGGCAGAGATAGGAGGAGGACTGCCCACATAACCCGAAGTTTCTGCTTTTACCTAACTTTAACCCTTTATAAACTTGTGAAATGGTAAAGCGTATTTAATGGAGGTTTAAAATCTGCTATTTTCACATTAGTCCACACAGTGCATCATGCTCACTCTTTCTCTCTCACACAGATGATAATATCAAATTTGAGCATAAGAGAATGTACAAAATGAAAAACGCTGCAAAGCCAATTTGTTTCCTATGATACGGTTGCCTCTGGTTTGTGTGCCTTTCCTATAGAATTTGAATGTAGTATAAGATAAATGTTTGATCAACTTAGGGGGCAATTGCCCCTCTAACTCCTCCCTAATCCGCCACTGGTGAAGGGTAAAAGTTATAAAAATTAGAGTAAATATCTTTTTTGGTCCTCAGCAAATTTCACGATGCACATTTTAGTCCCTAGCAAATAAAAATATCCATCGTGGTCCCTAAGAAATTCAAAATGGACCCATTTAATTGAAATCGTGGTCCCTCACAAATTTAAAAAAGACCCATATTAGTTCCTCAAAATGACTAAAATGGGTCCATTTTGAATTTCTTAGGTACCACGATGGGCCTTTTTATTTACTAGGGTTTAAAGTGGGCATCGTGAAATTTGCTGAGGACCAAAAATGATATTTACTCTAAAAATTATCAATGTATATATTAACAAAGATATTCAAAAAAAATAATTTATGGAGATATTGAGAATACTCTTTGCTTAAGTGGCAGGGTTTCTAACGCAATCATGTACTTTAAATACATAAATAGTTTAATCCAACTGAAACTATATATATGGAAAGTCCTCGATAAGTATGACTAACTAGTATGATATAACTCAAGTTAAGAATCAGGAACTATCACTGTTGACTCCTAATGGATAAGTGATATCAGCGCCCTGTGTTGTCCAACAATAACCTTTGAATTTAAATTAACTAGGCTAAATTTTATTAATTTTTCAAACTATGCACATAACTTGAACTAATTGCACTCAACAAATGGGGGGAAAAGCATCTAATCTCCTAAACTTTTACTCACTCACAAGTATTCAACCCTATTTGATGTATAGTTGGTGTAAGGAGAGAATATGAGAATGGATCTAGTTATGTCTCATTTTTACATTATTATGTCATATGAGAAATTTCAATCATTCATTAAGAAATTATGGATCACAATTTTAATGATAAAATTTATAAAAAAAGAAAAGAAAAGAAATGACCATTTTAAATGCAGATTGTTGCTTGATTAACGAATGAACATAATATAATCATATTAAAATGAAAGATTGAGGATTTATTTGTAAATTCCAGCGACAATATATACATCACAATAAGTATTATTACACCAATTATTATTCAAAGCTAACATGGAGATTTTATTCAAACTATGAAGCTTCCAGTGCCATCAGCATCTAAGAACACAATTTGAAAGGGGTCATCATCATCAGTGATCAGGATCAAACGCCTTCCATTCTCATCATCGTACCTCCCAATATCAGAACAAACATCAGTGATTGTGGGACAGAACACAAGCTTGTATCCCAAATCATATTTCTGAATATTAAAGGTACCATTTAGGATCTGCTTTCCTAGATGGTCTTCAACACCACCAATACCAACCCATTCTCTAGGGAAATCATCAACAACCACCACCCACTTGGATGATTCAGCACACTCAGGCTTCTCTTCAAATGCAATATCCAATGGTGTGCCTGTAAAAATAATACCAGTGCTTACTCCTGGTATGCTGAATTTCACTGGCAAGCCATTGATAACCTCAGAATAATCTTGCAATACAGTAACTGAGCAATTTGAGTTCCCAGTTTGACCAAGTCTTACTCCACCACCTGCTGCACCAAATATAGCTGGTAAAATATAGAATCTTCCAGAAGGGAAAATGGGGTTTCCATTTGTGTCCGTCACTTGTTCAGCTTGTGAGAAGGCTAATGGAAGGTTGGTGATTAAGGCAAAGAGGAAGAAAAAGAGGGTAAGTGATGCAGGCTTCATGGTTTATCAATGATGCTGCTATCTGACTGTATGTTTTGATGGCTCAACCTCTCTATTTATAGAGTTGTTCTAAGAGTAGCTTGTGGATCTAACATTGCATAAGAAGTAGGAGTTTATCAACCGATCCAAACCGATTCAAACCACGGTGACCGAACTGAAAAACTGATAACCGAATAAACCAAAAACCGAAAAATCGAAAACCGATTAAAAACTGCAAATTTTAATTGGATTGGATCGGTTTTTGGATGGGTTGATGAAAACCGATCCAATATATTGATTTTCCTCTACCTACTTGGATTTTTCCCTAATCATAGCCTAAAAATTTCTAAACCCAAGACCCATTAACCCATCAACTAAACCCAAGAAAAAATCTAGTCACATCTCATCAACAAAATTTTATCTTTATAGAGTTTCTTATCTCATTGCCAAAAAAAAAAACTATATTATAGTTTATTAATGTTTTGTATTTCAAAAAAAAATACATTTACGAAGCCAATTATACAAAAGATATTATTTGCACAATAATCATGAAATAAGTTTTAGAATTTTTCGAAAACCGAAAACCGATCCAATCCAAACCGAAAAAAATTGGATCGGATCGGATCGGATTTGAAAAAAAATCAAAATCGAATGGATGATTATATGATCAAACTGAAAGGATTGGATCAGATGATTTTTACTTCCAAAATCGATCCAATCCAAACCGAGAACACCCCTAATAAGAAGTCATTAATATTAATAAAAAATGTACATATATGTAAAGAAACTATTATATTATAAGTAAGGGATAAGATTTTATATCTATCTTTTTTCATGCATATATTATAGACTCTGACTCTAATATCGTTATATTAGAATTTCAACTGACTTTTATCATTTCTCTCTTAGAGTAGGTATGGAAAAAGGTATTGGAGAAAGGATAAAAGTTCGTTGAGATTCCGATCTAACGGTATTAAAATAGAGTAGACAGAATAGATATGAAAAAAAAAATAAGCAAAATATCTTATCCCTAAATATAATTATGTAAATTTTGATGTGGAAATACTAATGTAAACAAAAAAGTGTAATGTATGGTGAAAGTTGTGAAATGAAAAGATGCAGAGCATCTGCCAGCCATAAAGATATTAGAGTTAGTAAAAGTGGTACATTGAGCTAGCCGCCCACATGGAAAATGGTACAAGGGCTGTTAACTCAATTGAAAGTGAAGTGAAACATATATAAAAGTAGATACACATAGAGGTGGATAGCTATTAGATAAGGTAGCAGGACTTTGTTGCTATTTGCTGCCTAGCTACGCCAGGACTCCTTCCAAATTTCTTTTCTCCTTAAATGACTCTTTGTCTTCTTGTTTCAAATGTTTTTTTCTTCATAAATAAATATTCCCTGGTAAACAACTATTTGTATTTTTTGATTTTGGATTCTGTGTGCTATGAAGAAAGGTCAATATGGAAGGCTGTTTCATTGGTGTGTTAAAGCTATCAAAGTGATGCTGTGAAGTGTGAGTCAATTGCTCTTATCAGACTGTTAAAAGTATTGGGTTTTGATGTCAGCTAGTTATCTTTCGTCAACAACTAATATATTACTTTACGGGAAAAGTGTCTATCTTTTTAAATGACTTAATTTATATTTTTTCACTCTCACAAAAAGGTGGGACTTAGAGGTGAAAGTGGGCTGGGCCAAGCTTTGCCCCAAAAAGCCCAAGCCTACGTCAAAAAATTTTAATTTGGTCTGGCCCAAGCCTAGTATGAGTCTAACTATTAGCCTGGTTTGACCCGTTTTTAAAAAAACAAATGGCCTGGCTAGGCCCGTTAGCCTGTTAATTTTTAACTTCCAAGCAGAACCATGAATCAACTTTACAAAGTACTCAAATTCTGTTGCTACACCAAAAATCATAATTTCAACGTCCAAACAAAATCATGAATCATAACAGAACTCATACAATATGCATTTAAGTCATTTTCAAAAGCAAAATGCTCAAACTAAATAACATATATTTCATCAGATCCAACAAACAAATCCATACTATGTAAATTAAAATAACTACATGAATATAACAAACACATCATGATGCTTGTAGTAAGAATAACATCTCCCAAAAATCTTTTAATATATTCATATACACAATCTAACATGTTGAGATGTTGGTTCCTCCTATATAAGAAATAAAGTAAGATTTCTATTAAAATATAATCGAATATAATTAAGTTATAAATAATTGCAAATTGATTAAATTTGTATCTTTTTTTTTTCTTCAAGGCATACTTACTATATTTTATTTTATTTAAAATAAATAGTACAATATAGGCTGGCCTGTAGGCTTATAGGCCTAGCCTTTTGAAAGTGGGCCTACGGCCTTTTTATTAAACAGGTTTTTTTAAGGTCCGAGCCCGGCCTATTATACAAAATATACTAAGTCAGGCTAGGCCTTTTTATTAAACAGGTTTTTTTAAGGTCCGAGTCCGGCCTATTATACAAAATATACTAAGTCAGGTCTAGCCTGATGTAGGCCGAGCCGTAGGCCCCTATAGGCCGGCCCGGCCCAGTTTCACCCCTAGTGGGACTCATATCTTTATTTTTTGTCAACTATCTCTCTTCCTTTATTTATCTCTTTCTCTTTCTTAAAATAATACAATTTTACATCCTTTAAAATGACATACATTTTTCCCTTAGCTTATTGTAAGTTTATATATTAAGACATGTAACGTGTTTTTTCTTTAAAAAAAAGGTTGAGTTTTTTATTTTTTTTATGATATTAATTATCCAACAAATTAGCTCTCTCTGATATTTTCATTACTTTGGCAGGAGAAGGGGTCTGAACCAAAAAAATTTATGAGAATTGATGAGAAAAATAAAATTTAAGCTAACTTAGGTATCTATAATAATCTTTCACATGTGGTCGTAGATTTAATTATGAATTAATAATTTTAATCATGTTATTGAGGAATAATTATAAGAAAAGTAGAAGAAAAAGAAATAAAATCACATTTAGTGAAAAAGGAGTTAAAATGGTAGTTAAGGAATAAAAAAGCGAGTAAATAAAGTTACTCAAAAAATAAAAATAAATATGAAAATATTTTCAAAAAAACATTCTGGACTAGTGTGCAAAGTTGAAATTAGAGTTTAGTGAGCAGGATAGATAAGTTTATACTCATTGGATAAAACAACCTCACTTAAGTACAGACAACACTCTCATTCTCCCTTATTTCTTCTTCCTCGTCCACATCAGCTCCTCCATGGCATAAAAGCTTGTGATTTTTTAAAAAATCATAAGTCTCTCATTTCTCAACGAAATGCATATGTTCTTAAGCCAAAACCACTTCAAATCTTCTCCTCTTTCTAAATCATAACTCATTTTCGGTTGGGGTTTATTGTGAAGAGATATCCTCATCCAAAGATTTTGTGGGTTGTTTGAGAGGTTCCCGCTCCATGGAAGCTTGAAAGGAGTTGCTCTCATCGTTTTAGGGTGTTGTGCGGTGAGTTTCCAACTCTTAAACTCCATTTTCTTGAAATTTGTGAATTTAGGGAGATGATGAATAGTGACCATAAGAAAATTGATACTTTAGGACATTAATAGTTATTGGTTGTTATTGTTTCATGTTGTAGAGTTGATCCCAACGTTGTTTTGAGCAAATTCCACGAATTGGAATCCACATTCTCTTGAGTTGGAGATTTGTGAATTTTCCATATTGAGGTAAGTCATGGTATAGATAGCTAGAGAGTGATTTGGACATGGCTCACTTTGTTAAATATGTTTGGGATTGGTTCCCGTAAAAGGAAAAATTATGAAATGGCCGTTTGGGACACTTTGATAAATTGGACTAAAAAATCAAGTGTAGGTTTCTTGTATGTGTAGTCTTGAAAATTAAACGTGGTAGCCTAGTATATAGGAATACTGATTGTCTTCACATCTTGGAACTAAGTTGTGACTTTATGAGAGATTGTGACTCTGTGGACATAAGAATTATTGGAGGACACTGCTTGCCAGGTAAGCTTTCGGTCTTTGGGGTTAATCCCCCGTTTGTTCCACCAACTCCGAGGGAGGGTTGTGGTTTGATATGATATGTTAAAAATAATTTGTTACATGTTGCATGTATATATATGTATATGTACCACACAAGACGGTGTTTCCTTATACATAGTATGAGACGGTGTTTCCTCATACTGTATGTTGCAAGATGGTGTTTCCTTGCGTAATGCATACTTGTTATATTCTCTAGCCAGTAGGATTACATTATTGCACACTGCATTGTCATACATATTCTGCTGCATGCATGGATTTTTATACTGTGTTTATACCAGAAGTGAGCTTAGGGGTGGAGGAGCCCTCCAAGGGTCCCTAGCTTACTGAGGTAATTATATTATCTCATCCCGCGTTATGGGGATCACCATTTCAGGTACAGGAGCTGATGGTGCTGAGGCATCGCATGGCAAGAGGCCAGATGAGATATACTACTTGACATGATTGTCAGGGTCTTGTGGATATTAGATTTGTACCTAACGAACTTTATTTTGGATATGTATATATACTATGTTATTCTTTTGGAGAGCATAGGGAGTGTCTATGCCATGTCGATAGTCTGTATATATTGTTAGTGATGCATGATTAGGTCAATGTTACTTATTTAATTGCATCTTTTTTGTTTATTTGATGTAATTATATAAGTAACATCATGGATATTATTTTGAGACCTGTTGTGATTATGAGATAGCTTATGCCATGGATGGCTGGGCAATAGGGTGGATGCCTGGATTATATTATACTGTCAATCAGGTTAAGATTATCATGATGGAAATTATTCACAGTGGTCCAAAATACAGAAGAAATGATGTCCGTTTTATTTTGGCCATGGAAGTAAAAATGTTTGCAATACATAAGGAAAAGAAAAGAAAATTTATTTAGTTAGCTTCCGCATTAATTAAATTGAACATGATGTGCTTACTATCATATGAATGTTAATTTACCGGCTGCAGACGAAGCGTTACAGTATCGATACATAACTAAATTAGAAGAACCCTCCATAATTATTTTTTACATGAAGAATAATAAAGATGAATAAAAAGGACAAATAAGCCAAATTTATATTATATTATCCCTTTTTAAGTCTCGAAGGTAGTTTAAAATAAAGGTTTGCTGAACTTGAGGGGACGATGGCCCCTCCCTAACTTTACCCGTAACAGATAAAATATCTAATCTTGGTTATCAAAGGTTCTCTCAGGAACCTCCTCCTCAACCGTTTGTCCCTCCTTATCTCAAATGGCATTCTCCAGGTTAATTTTTTTATTTTTTATTTAAAGGTGGATAACCTGCAGCCATCGAATTACTTACAACCAAGATAAATCCTCTCATATTTTATTTTATAAGAGTGAGAGAATTTTAATAATATAAAAGTGAATCAACGATAATTATTTTATATCTATTTATTCTAATATATTTTTTCTTATAACCATTAATCATCTTTTATCCATTACAATTCTTCCATATAATATGATCATATTAAATATCATGTTAGGGGATCCAGTGTGATATGCAACATGGTTGTTTCTACTTAAATTGTACAAGGAGCTAAATAATAGCGGTCTAATCAAGCACAGAGGATAATTAAAAAGGAACAAAAATTAAAAGACTACCTATGGGCCAGTGACGATTGGGCCCTACAGCCCATCTTGGCCGTTCTGTTAATGGCCCAATGAGCCCAACTCTCTCACCTTCGGTCGAGCGAGTCTATTTAAGCGATCAACTCAACTCGCTCTCGGACTCAGTCTCTCACGCTCTAACCCTCACTTCTGTTCTGTCTCCGACATATAACAGTGACTCCTCGGAATTCACGAAACAAACAACAGAGAAACAATGCGAAGAGCTTCCTTATCCTGTCTTCTACATCTTCAACAGCACTCTTTCCACTCATCTTCTTCTCCTTCTAGAACCTATCTCTTGAATTGTATTAGGAATCTCGAAAACGTTGATTCTGCCTTCAACTTCTTTCACAAAATGATTGCAATGAAGCCTTTCCCTAACGTTAAAGACTTCAACTTATTGTTCGGTTTCGTTGCAAAGACGAACCATCACGCAACCACCATCTCCTTAACCAAACACGCTCATTCTTCAGGTCTCAAACTCGATGTTTGCACTCTCAATATTATCATCAATTGTCTCTGCCATTTGAACCACACGGCCTTTGGGTTCTCTGTTTTGGGGCTAATGTTCAAGCTTGGTTTGGAACCCACTTTGGTGACTCTTAACACCTTGGTTAATGGATTATGTTCACAAGGCAAAGTGGGTCACGCTATTTGGTTAACTGAACACATGGAGAAAATGGGGTATCAATGCAATTGTCGCACGTTTGGAGCTATAATCAATGGTTTGTGTAAGATTGGTGACATGGGTGGTGCTATTGAGTGTTTGAAGAAGATGGGTGAGAGAAATTGTGAAGTGAATGTTGTTGTTTATAACACTGTTATGGATGGTCTTTGCAAGGATGGGTTGGTATCTGAGGCCTTGAGTTTGTTCTCAGAAATGATTGTTAGTAAAGGGATTCAGCCTAGTGTTGTTACCTACAATTGCTTAATTCAAGGGCTTTGTGGGTTTGGTAGGTGGAAAGAGGGTGCTTCTTTGCTGAGTGAGATGATGCAAAAGGGTGTCATGCCAGATGTGCAAACGTTTTCTATCTTGGTGGATGCTTTTTGCAAAGAAGGGTTGGTTTTGGGGGCTAAAGGGGTGATGAGTTTAATGGTTCAGATGGGGGAGGAGCCTAATGTTGTTACCTATAACTCGTTGATTGATGGATATTGTTTAAGAAATCAAATGGACGAGGCCATGAAAGTGTTTGATTTAATGGTTCAAAGGAACTGCTTGCCGAGCATTGTAACTTATAATTCATTAATTCATGGATGGTGTGAGGTTATGGATGTTGATAAGGCTATTTGTCTCTTGGGTGAAATGGTTGATAAAGGGTTGCATCCGGATGTTGTTACTTGGAGCAGTCTTATTGGTGGGTTTTGTGAAGTGGGTAAACCATTAGCTGCAAAAGAATTGTTTTTTACAATGAACAAATATGGCCAAGTTCCCAATCTTCAGACCTGTGCCATTATATTGGATGGCCTATTCAAATGTCATTTGTATTCTGAGGCAATGTCATTGTTTAGGGCCATGGAGAAGAGTAATCTTGATCTTGATATTGTGATGTACAATATTATGCTTGATGGAATGTGCAAAGCTGGAAAACTGAATGATGCAAGGAAACTTTTTTCTTGTCTGCCAGCTAAAGGGTTGAAAATTGATGCATATACTTGTAACATAATGATTAGAGGTCTGAGTAGAGAAGGACTACTAGATGATGCTGAAGGCTTACTTTTGAAAATGGAAGAGAATGGTTGCCCACCTAATAGATGCTCTTATAATGTCTTTGTCCAGGGATTGCTGAGAAATTATGACATTTCAAGGTCAAGAAAATACCTTCAAATAATGAAAGCCAAAGGCTTTACAGTAGATGCTACCACCACAGAGCTGCTTATATTCTTTTTTTCCCCTAATAAAGGAGATAATGCATTTAAAGAGTTGCTGCAGAACTGAAGTTTGTTTGAATTTAATCCCTTTTTCCATTATTTGATGTGGGTTTATATCAAGTGTTAAACACTGGTCTGATCAGACAGTTACCCATCCTTAAAACCATTGTGGGTTCAACTGCCCACAACAATTCAAAACTGGATGGTAGAAAGTTCAAGGGCAAGCATAGAAGGATGTTCATTCCAACCTGGATTACGACAATGATGCTGTTTTGAATGATAAATCATCCAAGAGTTCATAGAAACTTGCATGTTTTGCCATGAGATTAAACCTATTGGATGCCAACAAGATGGAGGCCTTGTTTTTTGAGCTTGCAATTGCAAGATTCTGGTTGAGACATAATTGTATATTTGGTGTCCATACATGATACATATAAGGTATGTTTCAAAGCACCTAGAATCTCACTTCTGCCAAACAATTATATTCAATGTTTTTAATTTTACCTGCTGAACACCTCAGTCTTCCCTTCAATTCCATAGTTTACGCCTGCAATATCAAATGATATGTTTAAAATGTTCATAATATCTTTATTCTAGAAGGTATAAAATTTTCTATGCAATTTCTGATTCAAAATTTCCCTCTAATTAGAAATGATACATACAAAAAGAGGTGACTTCAGAGACATTGAGCACGAATGAAGTATATACCAGCATTAACTGTATCCTAAGCTTCGTCATTTGATTCCTAAACATAGGTTGGCTGTGTGTTATACCCTTGTTATTTAAGCTTTATAGGCATAGACATAACTGCGGAAGATAATTGTTAAGATATTGTGAACATTGATGTGGAACTGGTACTTCAATGGCATTCTTCTTTGTTTTCAGGTTGTCACAGCAGAGCAAGAATCTCCTTTTGGAGAAGGTTGGCAGTGTGTTATGCCAGTGTGTCCTAAGCTTCATATATATGGATGTACTCACTACTCAGCAAGATAATTCTTTATGGTATTGTGAGCATTGATTTGGAATTGTTACTTCAATGGTGTTGTTCTTTGTTTTCTGGTTGCCAGAGTGGAGCAAGTGCCTCCCTTTGGAGAAGGTTGGTCTATTCTTGCACCAATTAAAACTCGGTATATATTGAGATTTCATTTGATGTAAAATCACTTAGTCACTGTATGAACTCCTGATATTATAGATCACCTTTCTGTATCAATTTCTGGTAGTTTCATGAATCAAGTGAAACCACTCTTTGGAAGATAATATTTTGTCAAAGAAAGCATCTAATATTAGCAAGACATCCTTGGTGACTACAAATGTTTATGATGCCCTGTTGTCACTTGCTGATATGCAGAAAGTCTATGGTTTGACCTCAATAGATGATCACTTGGGCATTTAAAGGTGTAGGTTTGTTATGGAGAAAAAGGTTGATCTTTTCTTTCTTTTTCTTTTTTTCCTTGGGATGATGTCACTTTAAGCTTTACATGTATTTTTCTGCATAGACCTTTCCAGAGGGACCAAAGTTACCTCATTATGTTCCATTTGGTTTCTGGTGTGCAAGCCATAAAATATTATTCATAATAGATAAAGGCTGAGGAAATATATAAAAAAATTTAGAAATTAAAATAGTAGAATATAATATTGATATATGATATGTAATGATGTATTATAATAAACAATTCCTTAACTCTTATTTATACAAATACTTACTACTTAATTCTAATCAAATATGAAAACAAGCAAGAAATATAATGAAATATGAAAATCTTAATTTTCGAATTTGGCCAACCATAATTGGTTTCTCAGACCTCTCAATTTCTGGTGATTTGATCTAAGTTGATTCCTTTTCTTTTTAATTAACTTGAGCCCACACTTAAAATTGTCCCAAGATGGGCTATAAAATTTGACCTAAATGGATAATCAAATTTGTAATTTATTTTTTAATTCTTAATAATAAAACTTTATTCAAAAAATTAAAAAAAGCCAAGTACGGTGCAGGATTTGAAGGGAAGGTGAAGTTATAGACTAAGGGTGTGTATTATATTGTTAAGTTCTCTGTCAATACTTCTGAAAAGAAATCATGTCTTTTATTTTTGTGTTTAAGAAGAGTTTTTAGGGGGGGGAATATCAAATATGTTTGATAATACAATTTATTTTCATTTTCGATGAGAAGATGTATTTAATAAATAGTTTATATTCAATTCTAATAACACATTCTACAATGTATATAGTTAATAAATAATGTGCTAGGAAAAAAAACAAAACACAAAAAAACTGTTCTTATTTTTTTCCATTTGTGTTTTTAAAGGTAACTATTTTTAAAAACAGTTTTTTAGTTTCCAGAAGAAGAAAAAAACTCATTTAGTAACGTCTGTTTTGTAAACAAGAAATTAAAAACTATAACTATTTTTTTTTGTTTTTAGAATCAAATTTAAAGAACATGTCTGATTTGTTTTTGTTTTTGGTTTTGATTTTTAATTTTCAAAACAACAAAAATTGAAAACACTTATTTCCATAACTTTTCTACAAAATAGTTTTAAAAACAAAAAAATAAGACTACAATCAAACAAACCCATTATTTCTAAGCATTCCTGTTCCATATATTAAAAAAATATTTTTAGAAAAGTGTTGGAGACATAGTGACGGAGCCACTTGTATGTTAGCTGGCTAATTTTTAAAAATTGTACATATTTTCTTCAAAAATTATAGTACAACCTTAATACTATTGAGTTTTTAAAATAATACAACATTAGCCGTGACTAAATTTTACCTAGTAAGTCTTTTGGCACCGGCTAGATTTTTCTTCTGATTCCGCACCATGGAGACACCTATCCAATCAAAGTGTTTTTTACACTCAAAGCCAAAAACTTAAATAACATTATTGATGAAATTATGTTTATGTTAAAGGTTTGTCGGATGTACAATGATTATATACAAGCTTTGATGTGGTCAAAAATGTATAACTACGTATTTTCGAAAATACATAATTTTAATGTTAAAATTATTTTCTCTCTCTCTTTAGAATTATAATTATGTATTTTTATGAATACATAGTTATAATATTAAAGTTATAATACAAAGTTATAATATTACAACTATGTATTCCCCGTTATAATTCTGAGGAGAGAAAAAAAATTAACATTATAACTATGTATTTTCGAAAATATATAGTTATAAATTTTTAACAATACTAAATCTTATATACAGTCACTTTAGAAATCATTTTGCCTTACTTAAAGTTAACATTATTTATATTTTCATGTCTAATTTGATGAATTAACTTTTTCTTTTTCTTTTTGATAAAATTCTTCTTCAAGTAATCACTTTTTAACCGATTAATTATATCAATAGATCATAATTATGTTATAATGAATACGTATTCTATTCTTGTCTATGTAGCATCGATACTGACACGAGACACGGGACACGACACGACACTCCGACACGTTAATTCTAAAAAATGTTAGATTTCGACACGTTAGGACACGTTTTGATATTTAATAATATTTTTAATTCATGTTGCGTATATTATATTTAATATTTAATAATTTAACAAAAAAATAAAACCAAACTTATAATACTCATTAATTTTGCAAATAAATATAAGATATCACAAATATTTATATTAAATTCAATAAAATGGTAATAGTAATCCAACGAATCGAATAGTTAGAACTAAAATCGCAACACAACGCAACCTTTGAACCTTTTTTTGAGTTTTTACAATGCACGTTGGAGTGTCGGGAAGTGTCGGAGTGTCCGAGAGTGTCGGGAAGTGTCGGACATGACTCATCGAAATTTTTGAAGTGACGGTGCTTCATAGATTCTTGTTTGGACTATTATATTTTGAATGCAACAGTAAATACCTATTATCGGACGTAATTGGTAAAATTTTGCCCTTAAAAAAAGTTGATATCAATTTTATCTCCAAATTATTAGATAAGTTATTCTACCTACTTTTTTTTTATGCCTACTTTACCTACCACTTTCTAACACCTTAAATCAGAATCTCAACTAATTTTTATCATTTCTCTCTCCTCTTAAGATTCTAATCTAACAGTATTAACAAATGGTAGGCAAAATAGACATAAAAAAAAAAAAAGATACGTAAAATAATCTATCCCCCAAATTATACAAGACAATATCAATTTAGTCTTTATAATAGAAAATGTGATATAGTTTCTCATGCAAAGATTCCATTGATGGTATGAGAATATAATATTCGACACTCTTTTTTAATACTCAATTTTATTTGGTAAAATTTTATACTGGCCTAAAGAGGGGAGTGGATCATCGTCTTATTTAACATAAACATATCATATGAGAGAATCCTAATTATTCATGAACAAATCAACGGTGATGATTTTTTTAATATTTATTCTAGTATTTTTTTCTCTCTCATTCCTCACCACCTTTGATTTACCCATATATAATTAGATCCTCCCACATGATCTGATCATGTTAACTAACACATAAGAGAATCCATTCCTAATAAAGAGTGAGTCCAGGTATTTAGTAAGGTTCACATGAAATTTATCTAATAATAATTTTTTTTTGGAAATAGAGTGTAAACAAATATACTACTAACAATTCTTTTCATAGTATTCACATTACAATTTTGATGTCACATTTTATTATCATAGAGTGAACTTAAGGCTTTTTGACCCTTTTGCCCCTCATTAATTAATTAATAACCAATTTACCCCTGATCAAGAACTATCCACCAACCTGCCCCCTTTTAGTCGACTACCTTGCTGTTTTAGTCGAGCAAATGGTCAATCTTCAGAAAGTGGACTACCGCAAATTTAGTCGACTAAAAAATCATCTTAACCGACTACATTTTTGGGATATTTAGTCGACTAAATATCGACGGATTTGTTTTTTAAAAACCCCTCATTCGGCAGAGGGGGAGTAGGATGACCTAATCGACTAAGGAGGCGGCCCAAACCCCAAATCCGCAGGAGCAGCTGAAGAACGCCCCAAACCCTTCCCTTAGGCGTGTGGATTGCCCCCAAATTTGGTCCAAATCGTGAAATCTGAAGGATAGGTAAGGTTTCTTAACTTGCATTGTGTTTTAGGTTTAGGAATTTTTTGTATTTGTTTGTTGTCCGAATTTGTGAACTCTAATCAAAGCATTTGTTGTAGGTTTTGTAACCCTAATCTACTAAGGTTTATTTTTTTGCATTGTGTGAATTTTTTTGTTTGAAAAGTTTGTATGTGGCAAAAGTTTGCTTTTGGTTTACAGCGCTTAAGTTGCAAGTTTTCATTACCATCATGACATGTTTCATATAGTTAAATGCTGACATGTTTCATTGTAGGTACCCTAAACAAATGACGAGCCGCAGAAGACCAAGCGATGAGGGCAATGAGTCACTTGAGAGACGCACCAAGCATAGGCAAGAGCAGCCTTCTTCGTCAAGGCGACAAGACGAAGAGCCTGATACTGTTGACCTCTCGTATGGGTATCTGTTTGAGGACGACCCTGCCGTCCACGCTTCATTCGTACGTGACCATTTGAACCGGCCGTTATGTGCTCCAAAATCTTTGGATACAGCCTTTTTTGATAAGGAGGGATTTGAAATTGTGGGGGTGTTGGAGGCGGCACATCTGAGGGTGTTGGCCGAGACCCTATGTCCGTATTCAGAGCTTATGGTGCGGGCCTTCTACCATAACCTCAGCTACGTACAGGGCGAGCTGAGGTCGAGGGTCTGTGGAATAGAGATCATCATGACGGCACCTGCATGGTTGGAGATACTCGGCTATGATTTTGACTCTTCTCAGACTGTGGTGTATGACGCTGATAGTGGTGTAGTACTTCCAGGATATGTACGAGAGGATGCCATGCAGGAGCAGAGAAGAGTCCGTGGGGAACACTTGCACTATACGGTGGGGTTGCTTTCTGTGGAGTCCCGTATACTACACTATGTCCTCACCCACGTTCTGTTTCTGCGATCTTTTAA